CAACCGTGATGATGGTTACACAAACTGAGTAATCATTGGAAAGATGTGATTAACCATGCAAAAAAGATTTAACTACACTTATTTGAACCATCTTATTTGACAGAAAACTATTGCAGGTTACTGATGGACAGCCAGTTGTTTCACCAGGTTTAGCTTTCTACCAGGTTTAGCTTTCTTCTTTTTTCACACTTTTATTATGTAGGCTAGGCGTAGTCACAAACCGAACCTCTCCATAATAAAGGCTCAGTCTTTTGTTATGCAGTCTATTCATAGTCTCAAACCGCACCTTACCATAATAATAAAGAGTGGGCCATCCCTGCCCCTTCCCCCCTCCCTCCCCCCCTCAACCATTATATATACGGAGTGGTATCTCCTGTAATCTCTCATTTACTTGATACAACTGTCGGGCTGTGACGGTTCCACCTGAAGACGAAAGCTTGTGTTGCTTCTGAAATGTCGTGATTTTTATTTTATTTACTTTATTAATTTTAATGTTTTACCTACGTGACTTTACCGAAAAAACCTAAGAATATGATATGGTGAGTTGCGTATCTTCCGCGTGCCCAGAGAATCGCACACCTCCTGGAGCAACTTGGCGAAATTCCTGCCCTGATCCATGAGGAGTTGCTCAGGGGGCCATATAAAAAGGCGTCGGCTATAGACGCAGCTGATTGGTCAACCAGAGGCCAGGCCATAGGCCAACAGGTTAGACATTCAACCCCAATGAGATACTTTTGTCCTTTCTGGGAGACCGGAAAGGGCCCCAAAATGTCAAGGGCCACCAATTCATTAACCCGTGACACAACGATGGACTGTAACAGGATCTGCAGTCGCAGGGTAGGAGATTTCCAACGTGCACAATCAGCATAACCTTTAATCAAAACGCCAATAGTAAGAAGCGAATTCGATGAAACTGCGGATTTCAGCCACCGATTTTGGCACCTGCCATGTGCGCACGCACGCGGTTTTCTCCGGGTCTGTGGCAACACCGGCTGCGTTAACTATATGGTCCAAGTATTTAACTGATGTCTGAAGCAAATTACATTTCTGAGGCTTGAATTTCAACTTAGCCGCACGTACCTTCTTAAAGACCGAAAGCAATCACTGTAAATGTTCGTCAAAGGTACTGCCAAAAACGATGTCATCCAAATAAATTAGGCATGAAAATCATTGCAACCCTGCGATGACCAATTCCATGAATTGCTGAAAGGTGGCTGGCGCCGAATTTAATCCCATCGGAAGACAATTGAAGTGGTAGAGCCCTTGTGGCATGCGAAAAGCGTTTTTTGCTTTGGATTCGTCATCGAGGGGCAATTGGTAAAATCCGGACAGTAAATCGAGTGTCGAAAAGAACTGTGCACCCGATAATGCATCTAGCGAGTCGTCCATACGAGGGAGGGGATATGCATCCGCCACCGATATCTTATTTAACTTGCGTAAATCAATACGAAATCTTAAGTTCCCATCACGTTTTTTGACTAGGACTATGGGCACCCCCACGGGCTATTGGTCAGGGAAATAATATCAGCTGCCAAAATCTCGTCAACAGCCTGGCATACCTGTTCTTTTTCCGCGGGGCTAAGTCTCTGCGAATTAATCTGAATTGGGGGCGAATCGCCCATATTGATATGGTGGAGGAGAGGAGTGCGTCCAATTTCAAATTTGCTCGTGCTGAAGACATCGGAAAAATCGTATAAGAGCCGGCACAGCTGACCTCGCTGAACTTGTCAGCGCAGAGTTCTCGGAGTAGATTCCAACCATCCGGAATCTGGCTCACCAGGTTTAGCAACGCTTCCCGCCAATCCAGGAGCTGGCTCCGCATTATCAAAACACTGGGCCGCCGAGGCGTGCGCCAGGACAGCGCCCACCTGAATCACAACCGGCGCATGCCCCGCATGAAGAACTTGTAGGAATGGCATCTGCTCGGCGGATACAAGTCATAGCCCCCGCCAGGGAAGGAGATCGTGACACGGCATTAGAAGGGGTTAGAAGAATCTCCTCTTCCAGGCCTGGTAAAGGCAACTCTTTGCGCAATCGCAATGGCACGAGCATTTGAGAACCCGGAGGTACTTTAACGGTGTGGCTAGCCATCACATGAATGACAGCATTCTGCGATGGCTGTTGACCAGGGGAGTTCAGAAACAGCAACCACTGTCCCGATGGTAATTCAATACACCCCTGGTCGATGAGAATTTTCAAGGGCATCCTGCCTAGAAAATTGGTGCCCAGCAAACAGGGCATAGCCAATGTCCGTGAAACCAATATCTAGCCTTCCAAAAGATTTCCCCAATTTGCACAGAGGCCAACATCTGATCCATTATACCCAGACTCCCCCTGTTAGCCGCTACACAAGCGCTCTCCATGGGGGCAAGATGATCGGACGAAGGAAACGTACAAAACACAGCCTCGGAGACCATAGTCGCAACGGCCCGTGTCTATCAACCGACGAACCTGGATCCCCTGAATCAACCCCATAATACCATCATCATTAGACCTCCTTAGCCAGTACCAAAATATAATAATAGGGGTTTTCCCCTTTTTTCTGGCAACAAAACTGAAACCTTTTAACAAGGATTCATGTCTGCATTAACCACAATACTTGCAGTCAAATGCAAACAAAAAACACACTATGATAATATATGAATTGTCCTTGAAACTGATTGGTCCACACCAAGGGACGGCTTTCTTTTGAGCCTCGACCCAATTGGTGCTCGACCAGAGGACGCCAACCCCATAATAGTCGAAGAACCCGCCGCGGCACCCACTACGCGATGAGCCAGTGTGTTCCACTGCGCGACGCCGCGTGGCCAATACGCTAACGACCACACACCCCATGTGCGAGTCGCAACGGGATGCGGTTTTACAGGATGAGTCCGCACGCGACCTATGCTAGATGGATGGGACAAAAACGGCCGTGTGTCTGATGCATCCGGATTCGGCTGTGGATTGCGGGAGATGTTGTTGAAGCCGGAGGATGGATGCAGAGAGAATCCTCCGGTCCCGCAGCGGCAGTCGACGGCGATGTGGCCCGTGCAGCCGCACCTGTAGCAGGTATGGTAAGGATGCCCAGGCGGCTGGCTCAGCCTGGGGCGCCATTCCCGTGCTGATGGGCGCAGGCCAGCGCTCCTTCCCTCCGTTCACGGGACGAAGGAGGCACATGCCTGCTCGTCCACGTCCGGCTTCGTTGCACCGGCCGCCACCGCCAGCCAGTCTTTAAGGTTGAGGACAGCACTGCGATATGCCAGCGGCGTCTCGCTCTCACCCCATTTCCGCAGCCTGAATCTTCTCCAAACATTAGACGGGGGATCAAAAATAGCGGCCATTTCGGTGTAGACGCGCGCGAGGGTCGCTCTATCCAACTCGGGGATGGTGAAAAAGGCGGCTAACGAGTTGTCGTCGAGGGCCGTGGGAAGAGCTTGAAGTGCCTCCTGGGATGTCCATCCCACTGAGATGTAGGCGGCCTCGAATCGACGACGAAAAGCCGTCCCATCTCCTCCTGTAGCAGTGAACTGACGCACCGGCGGCAGCTGTTGGAACTTGGGAACGACTTCCACCTTGGAAGCCGGCGGCTGCTGCTGCAGCACGGGCCAATCGCCCGAAATGGCGGATGAGTTGAACATGGCTGCAGTCCCGGAAATGGTGGGAAGGTCCAGCGCTCCAGTCGCCTCAGTCATGACAGCAGTGGGAAGCGCGTCTTGGTGTCCAGTTGAAGTCGCAGAAGTCATCCGCTCTAAAAGATGAGTGGCGGCCGACAGAAACCTCCCCAGGTGACCGGCGATGTCCAGCCAGCTCTGCGGAGGAGGTGGCTGGGTGGACTCACCATGCATTCCTGAGTCGATTGAAGCCCGTCATCGTAACGGGCGCTCGGAGCTCCGGCAACCGGAGCTGTTGGAGGGACATCTTGCTCGGCGTCATCGTTGGACGCAACAGGTGGGTTTTTAAGTTTCATTGCCGACTTGGGACTTGACGGCGAGGGTTCGTTGGCAATTCTTACACCAAATGTAGTGTCTTCAAAACTTAATCACACCGACACGTTGTAACAAGTCACCTGCTTACACTTTATTCACCTATTCTTGCACCAGTTGTAGGCACTCCTATAACTATCTATACGGTCACTTGTTTAACTTCTCCCCACTCTTATCTACCTTGCACCTCACTTATCCTGCACTCAGTAGCTCTGCTCTCAGCGACTCCGCACACAGCATCTCCGCACAAAGCGTCTCCGCACACAGCGAATCTACATCTCCACCGCTGCCCCAACCTACGCTCTCCTCAGACCCGCTCACCTGTCTGTCCCGGGCGGGAGGATCAGCCAACACCCGCCCGGCGACAGCGTGAGGGTTGAGGTCCCGTTGACAGCTGGAGTGGCAGCGGCGGGATGTCTTCACTCTTGGTCCACGGCAACAACTCCCTGCTGCGCTCACGCACACGCCCTTATATCCCCCTGCTAATTTCCAGAGTCCTCTCGTGCGTCTCTTTAAGCTCTCACCAGGCTGGCGCCTGTTGGCCCATCAATCAACCTTTACCTCCCGTCTCCCTGGTAATACCTCTGGTCTCAATGTGCACAACCAGTTAAACCCGTTTGCACCTGCTTTGTCCCTTACTACTGGCAGTTTGTCCGTGCAAACCTCACATGCACCTGTTTGCCCTCAGTTGCGCCTTGGTTAACTGTGCGCACCGCGTATTTCACTGCTCTACACTATTATTTACTATGTGCTGCACGCTTTACACTGCACTATAAACCATAACTACACTGCGCATGGTGAGTGTGCATAGCCAGCAGGTGGGGTGTACAATAGGCTTCCAGACCCCTGCTGTTACCATCGTATAAAATGTAAAGTTATGTCAGGCTAAGACCATTAAAATGAAACTCAAATGGATTCAAACTAAAACAAGTGCAGCAGGTAGCCCTGACATTAAATATTTTTATATTAATATGAAATTGCTTAACTTTTTTGTATTAAAGTGCATTTAAAAAGCAATTACAAAAACATCACGGCCACACCTGGCAGTAATTTTAATAGAAATGTCCAACAGTTAAAATGTATACATAATCATTTCATATATATCAAAATATGCCCCTAAATAATGTTTTTAATAGGCAGTATGCATTCCATATCAACTAATTCTCTTCTGCAATTAATTACATCATAAGGACAGAAAGCTCATCTCCAATTGGATGACACCTACACCTGTATGTGAATGCTATGGAACATCGGTCTCAAACTCTCGGTTACACATCTTCTCTGGACGCAATTTCACACATGCTGGCTGTCGCAGTTAGAGTGATAGCTTTGGGGGCAGGGTGTCTTTTGATTGAGGAGCGAGGGACGCGCGGGGGTGGCTTTGTGCGAAAGTGGTTGCAGGTGTGCGGGGGATTAGATCAGCTCGGGAGCACGAGGGTTTGGACTCATGGGCATGCCGTGCTAATCAATATGGAAAAAAACAAGGGTGCGACTCAATAAAGGGTATGCTGCGGAGACTGTAGGGGTGGGGATTCCATTCCGCTCATCCTGCTCGATGCGGCTGCCGTGCTGGAGACGTGAGACTGTGCCGACCACGGGGAAACTCCTCCTCCCCAGCCGTGCTGGTGAGTCAGCACCGCAACCATCGCCTTGGAGTCCAGCCTGGGGGTGATCGACTGGGGTTCTGCGGTGGACGGTTGGTCCATTTACTAGTGGGTCGTCCTCCGCTACAATTGTTTTTGGGGCCAGGGGTGGGGAATCACGGGGAACCACCTGCTGCTGCCGTGAAGGGAACGCTTAGTGAGCTGCTGCGAAGACCATTTGGGTTGGTATAATTGCTCGTGATGTGTGCACTCCTCCGGAGAAGTTGCAGGCCTGTTACCATTTGACAATTTAAAACTTATAAAATTTAAATTCTAAGTAAATACTATAAATCTGGAATATACGGGCAGTGGTCTTTGTTATATTCCGCACACGGGCATTTGGGGCGTCGCGTGAAACAGGGGCCCCACTATAATCTAAACCACAGCGATGCTAGCTAGGGTTTCGAGTATAGACCGAAACCCTCTAAAGCATGTCCCAAAAAGATGCACCGTTGTACTGGCCCCTCCTCAGCTATGTCCAAAAAGTTCACGCACACCTCCACAAACTCCTGGGGATCAGAATTATCCTGCTTCACGCTGCCTCCATCGACTTGTAGGTCGGTTCCTGGAGTCGAATTTTGATCTTAAAATTTCACCGTCACTCCTGGTCATGTTGTCAAAACATAATTTTTACTGGTTCTTGTTTCATAAGAGATGGGCTCATTGCAGCACTTTCAATTAAAAAAAAATGTATTTCACCTTCTCCACTGTGTACACTCTGTAAGTGTGTGTGTTGCGCAGCACGCTAACCGCTCCAGGACCGCTCCCCCAAAAACTCCACCCACACCTCCACATCCACAAACTCCTGGGAGTCGCCTCGCTCTCCTTCAAAATCCTCCTGCTTCTCCTGCTTCACACTGTCTTTATCCACCTGGAGGCTGGGTTCTGGAGTAAAATTTTCATCTTCACATTCCACCTTCACTGCTGGTGATGTTGCCAAGCTGGGGTTGTCTTCTAGTTCTTGTTTCACGCGAGATGGGATCAGTGCAGCACTTTGACTTTTACTTCTCGATTCCACCTCTGTCTCCATGTGGGTCTTCTCATGCTTCTTTCAGGCTTCTAACCGTGCAAACCCCTTCCCACACACAGTGCACTTGAAGGGCTTCTCACCTGTGTGTGTTCTCTGATGAAAAGGAAGATTTCTTGAATTAGCATATGCCTTCTTGCACACAGTGCACTTGAAGGGCTTCTCACCCGTGTGTGTTCTCCGATGGATATGAAGAGCATGTGAACGAGAAAATGCCTTCTCACACACACTGCACTTGAAGGGCTTCTCACCCGTGTGTGTTCTATAATGTTTCTTAAGAGTTCCTGACTCTGCAAACGTCTTCCCACACAGAGTGCACTTGAAGGGCTTCTCGCCCGTGTGTGTTCTCTGGTGCTGCTTCAAATGTCCACGGCGATCCGTGCTGTATTGACACTTGTCACATTGGTGCCTTTTAGCACTGGGCTGTGTCGAGGGTCTTTTCTCCATGCGATCGATTCTGCAGATACACGTTACACATAATATACACACATTACAGAGACAAGGATCCTCTACTCCCCTGTATAGCCATAAAATACTGTTGGAGCAATTGCTATTAGCGAGGACCTATGAAGTCCTGCACGGGGCACGAGAGAGTGGGTGGTCAGCATCACGCCCGGGTGCCCTTTGTCATCCAAGTGGCTGTGCTTGCACAACACCAAGTACTTATTGTACGTTGAGTCGACCGAGGAAAGGCCCAGGAATGGTTCAGATGTTGGCCGTGATCTGGAATTGAACTCGGGTATCTGGGTTTGTAGTGAAGCACACTAACCACTGAACTACTGCTCCCCACATTACACACAGAGTACACTCACACACAATATACGTACTCATTACATGCTCGAACAAAGTACACCGACATAAAATATCCTTCAAATCAATATAAAATATCCTGTTCGTGCAAGTGATCATAGCCAGCACCTACTCATGCTGGCATGGCAAGAAGGGATGTAGCGTGGCCAGTACCACACCCGGCTGTCATCGTCTCTCCAACGATGATGTATACGAACTGCAAGAGGTAATCATTTAAGGCTCAATCTACCTACGTGAGGTGCAGGACCGGTTCATATATTCACTGCCAGCGATGTTGGCTATGAGTGGGAATAAAACTCTGTCCACGGAGTTGGTCGCAAAATGCGTTTAACACTGAGCCACCGCTCCCCACATTCGCCTCTCACATGCTCGTGACAAAATGATACACATACAGTCGAGACGGCCAGAGACAACGGCGATCGGGCGTGGTTCTGGCCACCCACCTCCTGGTGTATCATGCCAACCTTCATAGGTGGTCGCTAGCAGCACTTGCCCCAACAGTATGTTAAAGCTATAGGGTGCATCTTTGTCTCTATCCTGTGTGAGACAGTGGAGTTTGTATGTTCTTTCCCTGTGTTGCGTGGGATTCTTCCAGGTTTTCTGGTGTCTTCTTGAAGCTAAACCTACAAACAACGCAGCTGGTTTTGCCCAAAAGTTCCCACTGCTGAAATAATAACCGGTACATTACTCAATTGGGATTACCTACATTCGGTAAAACATCCCCCTACTGGGGCAAACTTGGCAGGAACCTCTTGGGAAAAAAGTCTTGAGATTCGGCGAGAAACTGCTCGGTGAGGTAAAGCAGTAAGCCAGGCCGAGACAAATTACAAGCAAAACCAATCAGCGGGCAAGCTAGGGGCCATCCATTTAGTAGGTACGCAAAAATTATGTCAACTTGATCCCTCCCCCCCTCCCTGTACGCACGCGTACTTTTTACACCCCCCCCCCCCCCAACTAGAACGGCCTATATTTAATCCATGCATAAACGATCAAGGATTAATAATAATATCAACGTGTTCTTGTTTACTAGCTTGCGACCGAGCTTCACACACAGCTTTTTACAGTTATACTTGACCGTGTTATCCATCCTGACTGGTTATTCAAAAACACGTGCGTCGACTGAACATCTGTAACAGTCGCTCGATGTATAGAGCAGTGTCAGTACTCAAGTGCGGGCAGCAGCAGCACGAACAGAGAGAGCACCGCGGCAGCTAACACCTTGAGCCAGCGGCAGTCTGCGGTGAGGCCAGATTGGAGGATGGGGCAGGCCGCCAGACTATGTCAGACTCACTGCTGAGCTGCGTGATAGCTGCAGTCAGGGGCACGGTGGCACACGAGTGACACCTCTCCCACAGTCCCACCTCTCCCGGCAGTACTTGTCTGACAGCTGAAGAAACTGAACTGTCTCATTTGAAGGCCAATGTCGACAAATTATTGAGGCTTCACCCTCCCCCCCCGTTTCCTATGCGTACGTTGTGATTAGACCCCCCCCCCCCTACGCAAGCAAACGCATATACGTACTAAATGGATGGCCCTTAGCAGGCGAGCCCTGCATGGGGTCGGCACCACATTGTGATGCTTCAATACTACAACCTGGACATCGATTCACAGTTACTAAGTTGCTATTCAGACACAAGAAAGAATAAGCGAGGCTTTCCTGGGAAAATTAACGTAACAACAATGCGAACTTTTACCTCGCGGATCAAATTAAGCGGCGAACAGAGCCACGAGTCGACTCCCTGCTCCACTTCCTGGTTCCAGGATCTCGTGACGTCACGCGGAGGCGCGTGGGGGAGGGGGGAGTTCCCGGGTGACGTCCTCGTGGGGGAAGCTCTCCTCGCCCCGCCCCTCGCCCCGCCTCCTCGCCCCGCCCCTCATCCTCCACTGAGCGCGGCTCGCGCTGATGACGTCACGCAACCCGAGAACCAGGAAGTGAAATCGAGAAGTCTCTATGGAGCTCGGCTGTTGCCGTGTGACCCGATAATGTTCACATCGTGGGGGTGATGGAGATGGTTGTTGTTGTTGTTGTCGTCTGCCTAGATACAGCCTCGCTTCTTATCTCTCTCGCAGGGATAGCAATTGAGTAGCAGCAAGTATGAAATCGATGTTCAGGTTGGAACATTTCAACTTGAGGCCTAGCTACGCGAGGCTTGCCTCCTGCTCTCGCCTGATTACACTGGTCCACAATGTTTTAGACGTCTGCCTCAGAGATGAGATGCGTTGTTTAATATTGAGTATTGTGCTGAATTCAAATATGACAAAACAACTGATTGGCTACTGTTCACAATATATTAAAGTTACATTTTACGTCTATGTATATTGTGTAGATAGTTTAACTCAAATGGTAAACCTCGGTCTTTTCATGTGTTTATGGTTGCTTTACAGTTTACATGATAACATGTCACCTGTCCTGTTCATGTAACACTTAAAAAAGCAGCAAAAGGGTTATATAAATAACATTTATTATGAAACAAGGCAAAACACTTGTGTTTATATATAAGTACATAGTTTAGTTCTTATTCAGTGTCTACTCAGCGCTTCTTGGCTTGTCTCGTATTCATTAAATGGAGCATCTCGTGTCACTGTCCAGCAATAGTCTGCAAGCATCGATGGCCTCCATTTTCCCTGATAGCGTTTCTCTATTGTTGCAATGTCCTGGTGAAACCGATCGCCATGCTCGTCGCTCACTACTCCGCAGTTCGGTGGGAGTGCAAAAAATGTATCTTTTAGTGACATGTTGCAACCAAGTCTTTCGTATAGTATTGCGTCATACGTGATATGTATGACGTAATACCAGGTTCAGATTGCATCATTCATCGTTTTGCTCAAAAAGCCAGTATATTTTATGTTTATATTATTTTATTATTTCCCTTCGACGTGACTTTACCGAAAGAACCAAGAATATGAATCCCTGCAGTCACGAAAGCTTTAAATCAAAAGCCAGTACTGTCCAAACCCAGTCATATATTTATTCATAGATCCAGTCAAAGATGTATTTTAGTCATTTCTGGTTTAAATGTAGGTCCCTTCCCTTAATAACTCACTTATCCTCCACCATTCCCAAGTCAAGGGTTGTACATACTGACCCAGTAGCATATCTTAAAAACTGGAGCCAATCAACAAGTTTAAGCATCATTTTCATTCTCACTGGCCCAGAATTAGTAAAGTTGGACTATTTTGGAAGCATTTTGGCCCTAGACCAGTTTTATACAGTGGTACCTCATCGATCGAACTTTATTCGTTCCAAAACCGTATTCGAACGCCGATTTGCTCGAACACCGAATCAATTTTCCCCATAAGAATGAATGGAAATAGCATTAATCAGTTCCCCACCCAAGGATGCTCCTATTATGGGCCATTTTTACACAAAGTTTACAATATTAAAATACAGTACAGTACATAAAAGCATACAAAAAACAGTTCTAATTAATATAATAAATGAACATTGAATTTCACTTTACCTGTAGTAAGGAGAGCGGATGGCTTGAGTGGAAGGTGGTGAGGGAGGGGAGGAGGAGGTGTCAGTGTTGCTTGGAAGGGGAGTCCCCCTCCATAAAACGGGTAACTGCCCTTCTGGGGTTCTTTGCCTTTTTTCTAGCACGAACTGTGATTCACTTGAGGGCCTTTTTACTAAAAACTGATCAAGACAGGATTGTTTCTGCCTCCGTTTTAAGATGTTTCTGAAATGACTCAATGCATTATCATTATAAAAATCGCCTGCTCTGCTGGATGATATTTTCTACAAAATTGTGTAACTCAGCCCATTTTGCCATCATTTCCTTCATCAGTGAACTCGGAGCAGGATCCCTTCCCTCCTCTGAAGACATGTCATCTTTTGCTATCTGTTGCTGCTCATCGTGAAGGTGTTGGAGTTCCTGTCGTCAGTGCCATTGTGTATGGATAAACACAATAAAAACACTAAAATAAATGCATTTGATCCGAAGTTGCTTGCAAATTGCGAGGAATCATTAATTAACAGACTCACACAGAGACCCATGGACTCACACAGACCAGACCCTTGCACTCTCCACACAGATACTTCATAGACAATCATATGCTAGTCGCAGATTTTTAGGATTGTGCAACGGACATAAACAAGAGGTCGGACAAAGAGCAGATCTACGTGGACAGTCACTTTGTCAATGATAATGGCCCTATAGTGAAAATGTCTTCTCACGTACAAAGACATTTGCCCCGTCATGATATAGAGGAGGTCACAGTGATGTGTTTTGCAATACAAGAGCGTCCACTGCGAATCACAATGCCGCAGAGTTACATGTGGATGGGTTTTTTACTTATTATGGGAGAAAGGCAGATAATGTGAAGGAAACCCATGGAGAACGGGGAGATCAAACAAACTCCACTTAATCACTGCAGAACACAGATCATACAAACACCACTCACTATAGAACAAGGGGAGTTCATACAAACTGCTCTCTGTGGAACAGCAGAACATACAAACTCCACTCACACTGTAGAACAGGGGGGAGGTCATACAACGTCCACTTTGTAGAACAGGCGGAGATCATACAACCTCCATGCAGAACGGCACTCGATTCAGGAATGGAAACCGTGATTGAGCCGGGGTGGTGAGATGTTATGTTTTTTTTTTGCCTGGTATGCAAGAGTTTGTGGGTTGGATTCTGGACCCTGGCAATATCCGTTGTATATTTTGAGTGTGTATGTTCACCTTGGCTCTGCAGATTGTGAGTGAGTGATTGAGTGTGTTAGTCTGTGAGTTTGTTAGTGTGGCAATGTTGCGGACCGCAGATGCAATTTTTAGGCGCGGAGCTTAATGTCAGATCACGTCGCATGGGCCAGTGAGTTAAATGTCCAGCTGAAGAGATGTATCTTTAGATGTTTTATGAACGATGAAAATAATGTATCGTTACGGATGTGGAAAGATGACATTCTAAATGACGGGCAGTGATGGAGAAACGACGAGAAGAAATTACAGTCCTTGTCCTGGGAGTTTCAAGGAGGTTCTGCGACGCACTGCGAAGTTGTTTACGATTTATTTAAGTGTGAGGCATCAGCAGAGGAATAGTGGGTGTTATGGTGGGGTTTGCAGAGGCAAGCGATTTTGAAGGTAATTTTGCTATAAATGGGCAGCTAATGAAGGGCACGAAGGATGGACAGGGTGAGGGTTGCAGGGGCCGTAGACAACTCGGGCAGTGTGATTTTGGAGGCGTTGCAGCTTATTCTGGTCGAGTAATATAAGCTGCAATAATTACAACTAGCTTCATCAGGCAACAGCCAGATTTGTGGAGAAGTCCTCCTGGCGTAGCGTAATACTCAGATTGCAAATGTGGCTTGGCCCTCCAACACCGTTGTGCTGTACTAGTGAAGAATTGGCGTGTTCTGTCTACGTGACAGGCCTTGCTGATTGTGTCGGGTGGTGGTGGGTTTAACGACATATTTACGCTATCTAATCCAAAAAGCCTATATTATGGATATTGGTCGCGAAAGCCTACGTGTTAAAAAGTCTTAAGGGCTCCAAAGCACAGAACAACCCAGAGCCCTGGCCTATTAATGGTATCATAGGCCTTGACCAATGTTTTGGAACAACCTTGTTTCCTCCATTATACGTCTTCCTTCAACAAATATTCTGAAGTAGGAGATTAGTGCAGGATACAGCCACATTTGACAATTCGATTTGTAAATTTAGTGTTGTCCAGCAGTCAAAGCGTAGTGCTGTAATAGCTATTATGTGCAGCGCGCTTTTGCAGGTATCCTCGACGCCATGGAAAGCGAGTCAACTGACGGTGACACAATGTTGGAAGAATGACAATATTGCAAACTGCTTCATAAACATTAAGGAGTTCGTTGATGAGGTGAAACAGTCATCCCTCAATGCCTGCTGGGGGAAATTTTGGGAAGAGGTAGTCAATGGCTTCCAAGGATTCCCCTGAGTCGATGCCATTTTTCATTCACCAGTGGGTCATCTCCACAACCATCGCCTTGGAGTCCAGCCTGGGGGTGATAACCACTTGCTGGCCGGTGGGCGCGATTGACTGGGGTTCTGCAGTGGATGGTTGGTCCATTCACCAGTGGGTCGTCTCCGCTACAATTGTTTTTGGAGCCAGGGGTGGGGAATCACGGGGAACCACCTGCTGCTGCCGTGAAGGGAACGCTTAGTGAGGACTGCGGGGTGTCGACAGCTGGGACATGTGGGGAGGAAGGGAGGTGATCTGTGATGCCGCCGCCACGAAGCCGTTCGGCAGGCGCCCAATCCCCGACCTCGCCACCACCAAGCAACGGAGCCAACCTCGCGTCCCCCTCACCTCACCTCACATGAACACACCCGCACGCATTTTCCCCCACCCATAGAGCTGGAAGGGGAGATCACCTGATCGGCCGGTTTTTATCCGAGAAACCCTTATCGGGATTAACTCTCACGGTTTCCGGCGATCAGGGAATTGGACGACCTCCCCCGTGCTACGTTGCGCCGCGGCGCTGCGACCAGCCTTAATATGGTATGGTCGCGGCGTGGGGCATTCGGCCACCGCGGTTGAGGCGCATTCCCCCCCCCCACACACACCCCCACAGGTCGACGAGACAGGCGGAGGAGGGACGGGGCGGAATAGTTTAGGGTGCGCAGTAGCGCGGCGCCATGCATGAGAGGGAGATTAATACAGGAGCGTGTTTGGAATCGAGGCCGCAGCACATCCGATTAGCATAACAAAAGCGCCGTGGAGGCGCCGCAGAGCGGCCGTGCTCGTGCAAGGGAGGCGCGTGCCATTGTTTAGAGTTTACGCCGTGCCAGCAGAGCATTAATTAGCATATGCACCGCTCATGAGCGGAGAGCCTTCGGGAGTACGGACAGAGGATCGCAGCAAGGTAGAGAGTCTCACTTCTCTTCAAGAGGCACGCGTGCAAGTCGGCTCCCAGCTCTGCCCTCCGGACGTCCGCGTGACGTGTCTCGATGGCATAGAGGAAAAGCCACAGGACACCGAATACTTCGAGCCGTGAGTAGCAAGGTGACAGGGTATCGTAAGCCGATAAATAGGGAATAGGTCCAGGGGAAGTAGGATAGGCCAGCTTCGTCGACTCGTACTGACTTAGCATCAATTCGCGAGTATTAGATAATAAATCATTAATAGCGAAGCGTGGCCTCGCGTGATCTTGTCTTGCAGGGTGAGCGTGTGGGTGTGCGGGTGTACAGTGGTTCGCCACGTGAGTGAGCGCTGCGCGGAGCTGAGCGCGTGGGTGAGCGTGTGTACACAGTGATTCTGTAGTGCTGCGGCTCACCTCGGGAGCACTGCGCAGAGCGGTGCGAGAGTGGGTGTCGCGTGTGTTCACTCCGTGTGTGATACAGGTGCGTGATCATAATGCGAGTATTCAGTGGTGAGTGAGTGCCGCGGAGAGCTGTGTGCGTGAGTGTGCATACGTTCGTTACGTGTCGGATATGGATGCGCATTAGTAACGTGGTTATTCGACGTGGAGGCGAGTGCTGCACAGGGCTATAGACGGGCACACGCTCGCAGTGTGCGAGAGCTGTACGTAGCGGTGTAAAGAGGGGGAGTGTGCCGTTTGATTGATGCTGTGCGCACGTATGCTCGCAGCGTGGGAGCGCGGCGCGAGGCTGTAACAGTAGGGGCGTCGCGTTCGAATGCCGGCGAAACCGTAGCGGGTAATAGGGAGGTGGGGTAACGTAAACGGAATAGGGGATGCAGGCGGGAGGGACCCCGGGGGCCAACGGCCCCCACAGATCCTTTGAGGTGGTACTTGGAACGTTTTGTTTGGTCTGTTGCAGAGCCGGGTGATACTTTGTGCGTGCCTTTGGGGATTGCTCGTGGTGGAGGAAATCTGTGAAGCCGTGGTTGTCGGGTTGTTGTGCTGTTGCGAAGACCATTTGGGTTGGTATAATTGCTCGTGATGTGTGCACTCCTCCGGAGAAATCGCAGGCCTGTTACCATTTGACAATTTATAACTTATAAAATGTTAATTCTAAGTAAACATATTCTTAGGTTTTTTCGGTAAAGTCACGTAGGTAAAACATCAAAATTAATAAAAATAAATAAAATAAAACAAAAATCACGACGTTTCGGAGGCAACACAAGTCTCCGTTATCAGGTGGGACCGTCACAGCCGGATTAGCTGCATCAAGTGAGGCAATGATTCAAGATGTAATCCCTTAAAAAGCAAGTTGAGGGGGAGGAGAGGGGGGGGGGAGCTAATCAGAATGTGGTAGCCAATGAATGGAACGTATCGGGAGGGAGGGGGGGCGGGGCTCAAAGACGGCACGGAGTGCCAACGTACAACGCATCGGGAGGGGGAGGGGGGGGGCCAAAAGAATGCATGACGGCATGGACGCGGTTGCTGCTGTACAACACATCGGGAGGGGGGGCGGGGCCAAAGAATGCACGACGGCATGGGCGCTGTTGCTGTTGCACAACGCCAACGCATTGGACAGAGAGGGGGAGGGGAGGCTTGATACACATGATAGAAAAGAACGAAAATGCCCATGTTTATACCAATGCTGGCTGAACAATGAAGAGAGTACTGTTAAACACTGGGGATGTTAACACTCGGTAAAGTAAAGTAAGATAGTGCCTATCAGATAAGATGGTCCAAAAAGTGTAATTAAGTCTTTTTTGCGTGGTTGATAACATCTTTCCAATGATTACTAAGTTTGTACCCATCATCACGGTTGAAATTATGTCTGTTTGTATATTTGTATGGCTTCGTGTACAAACCTTTGATGGTAGCCGGGAGGTTTGCAGAGAACCTTGGTCTCGGAAAAGACAATTTCATGAGAGCCCACCGAGTTGTAGCAATGATCGGCAACGGCCGAAGAATCAGTTCTGCCGTGTTTCAGATCTGACTTGTGCTCGCGGACACGATCAGAAACATGACGTTTCGTTTCTCCAATGTAGCAATCACCACAAATGCAACTCAATTTGTAGACTCCAGGATACTGTAAGTCAGGAACGACATCCTTCACAGATGGAATCAGATCACGGATTTTATGCACTGTACTGAATCGGACTTGGATCTTATGTTTGTTTAGAATTTTGGAGATCTTTTTGGTCACGCCTGCTATGTATGGTAACGTGATAGTTTTGGTCGGAGTTTCATGTGGCTGTTCCTGTGTGGTGGGAGAGACAGCTTGGCGGATAGTACGGTCAGAGTATCCGTTCATCCTGAGGGTCCGATGTACATGTCTTAATTCACCGGTCAGGTGGTGTTGGTCAAAAATGCCATGGGCTCTGTGGTATAGCGTTTTGATGAGAGAATTTTTTTGAGATGGGTGGTGGTGGGAATCCGGTTTCAAGTAGGAATCTGTGTGGGTGGCTTTCCTGTAAACAGAATGTCCCAAGGATCCATCAGGCCTCCTCTCAAACAGAATATCCAAGAATGGTAGTTTACCGTCTTTCTCCACTTCCATGGTGAATCTGATGGATGGGTGTCTAGAATTGATGTGGTCCAAGAAGTGGTTCAATGCTGGGAGGCCATGTGGCCAGATGACGAAAGTGTCATCCACATACCTCTTCCACAGGGAAGGACGCAGGGTGGATGTCTGGATGGCGTCTGATTCAAACTTTTCCATGAACATGTTGGCTATAACTGGTGACAAGGGGGAGCCCATAGGGGTACCCTCATTCTGTTTGTAGAATGTGCCATTCCAGGTAAAATAGGTGTTGGTGAGCACATGCCTAACCAGCGCAGGTACATCAGAATTCAATCCATTTTGGACTAAGTCCTCAATTATTGTTAGGGTGGCCGGTACTGGGACTTTGGAGAACAGAGATACTACATCAAAGCTGACGAGGATGTCATCAGGAGATAGTACCATGTCCTTAACCATAGAGATGAATTGGGTTGAGTTGAGTACTGCCGAAGAGGTCTTGCCTGTGAAGGGGAGCAGAGTATCTGATAGAAAACGGGCTAGTTTGTACGTAGGAGAGTTTATCGTCAACACGATGGGTCGTAGCGGGGTGCCTTCTCTATGGATTTTGGGAAGACCATAGAGTCTGGGAGGTCTAGCCGCCGATGGTTTTAGAGAGGGACGTTTGCTTGGTTCGATTAGGGAAGTCGAACTCGTGATGATACTGTTGGTTTTTGTCGTTAGGCTTTTAGTGGGATCGTTTTTAATTTTAGAGTAACTCCCATCATTAAGAAGGTCCAGGATTTTGTTGTTGTATGAATTTTTATCCATGATGACCGTTACATTGCCCTTGTCTGCCGAGAGGATGACTATATCATCTCTCTTTTTTAGGTCCGCGAGTTCAGAGCGTTCGTTTTTGCTGATGTTACTAGTGGGTTTCTTGGCATTCTTAAGAATAGTAGCTATTTCAGCTCTTGCTACATCCGCATGGATGTGTCCTATGCCTCTGAGGGCTACATCAATCTGAGAAATCATATCCTCTACTGGTATATATTTAGGGGTGATGGCGAAATTTAGTCCTTTGGCCAGTACCGTTTTTAGATTGTCAGAAATTGGGATGTTACTCTGATTAATCAAGGTCTTGTTAACATCCAGCTTTGCGATTTGTGGCTCTGGTTTCTTCTTAGATAGGAGGTTGAATTGAGAAATCAGGTTAGCTTTGCATTTGGCTGACATTGAGTCAGCAGATGCAGAAGTCATGTTATCAACGTGGTTCCAATCGGAAGGTGACATTTTTTGTGTTAACATTAAATGTGTTTGTAAGAGAGTCTTGTCTAAATTATCGAGTTCAGATGGGAGTAACCTTATTCTCTCCGAGATTAGTGATAGGCTAGCTTTAAATAAGATCTGTTTAGAGTTCGGTGAGGACACAGCAGCGGATGTGAGGGTGAAAGTGTAGGGCTGTTACAGAGGGGCTGTTTGTGTAGGGCTGTATGCATAGGATCAAACGGGTAACAAACACAGTGGGCGGGGCTCCGTCAGTACACGGGGAGGTGCCCGCAACGACGTCCGCACCGGGCGGCTTGGGGGGGGCTGCCCGTGGGGGGGTTGTGATCCTCTGGGGGGGTATAAAAGGGGATGAGCCAGAGAGCTCGGGGTTCAGTCTTAGAGTAAAAGGGGGAAGACGGAAGATCGACTAGCTAGGCCCTGGACTCCCCTGGGACGCCGCCCTTATCAGGGCCGCGCCAGTGGCGTGGTCCCGTGAACCAGAGTTAGTACTCTGGGACTCCGGGTACCGTAGCCCGACTGACCAGTGTCGGGCCAGATAGCCTCCCCGTTAGTGGAGGACTAGGGATAGGTC